TACTGCATGTCTTAGGTGTGGTTCTCTTGTTACAGCCGTTTGTCTGTCTTTGTGTCTGTACCACATGGGTGTCCTCTTTTTCGGCTTCCTTGTGCCTAGCTTCTGTGCCATCTTGGCTGTATTTCCAGATCTCCTCACTCCAGGAACCAGAAGACCCAACTTGTTTCCCATCTGTACTGCTTCTCTGATCTTCCATCGCTCTGAAACACAATGCACGGCTTCTTCTCACTCAGCTCTTTCCGGGTTTGTTCTGCAGCTGTGGAGTTTGAGTGCTAGTGTTTAAACAAGCTGGTATTACACAGGAAATGGCCACCTCCACAGGCCCCAGCAGGCTTGTAACGTGGGGTCATTGTACTTGATATTAATCACCAGTCAGCTTGTTCCCCCAGTAAAATATGAAGGAGTGTGTGAGTGCTTCGTCCTCCTTAGACTTGCCAGAAAGATGGACTGAGTCTTGGTCAGGCGTTAGTGCTCCGCTCTTTTCAGACTCTCTCCTCCTCTCAGTCCTGCCCCGGTGGAGCTTTCAGAAAAAGTCCTGCCTGACCCCTTCCCTGTGAAGCTGGCAGAGTCCGTTTCTGAGCTCTGGGCAAGAAGGTAGGTTACTGTAGTTAACGTGTCTCACCTGGCATTCCTTAATCTGTCAGGGGATGCTGCAGTTGGATAACCTCTCCTGTGAGAAAAGCCACATTTTAGGAACAGAGAAACCCATGGCCCGTCTGAGAGCAGGGCTTCTCAGTTCCCTGGACTTCAGCCGCCTTTCCATGGCTATTTGCAGAACTCACCTCAGCCTGAAGGGTTAATCTGATTCCCCGAGTCCATATCCCCCAAACAACCAGCCAGGAGTGTGTGTTGGTTTGTTTCTGTGAAATGTGTTTCCCCAGTCACCTGGGCTGGCCTGGGCTGCATTGTATCGGCCAGCAGCTGCACTGCACTCAAACTGACAGATACATTAAACCTTGGAATTCTGAGGCAATAAAAAGTAAATTAACTCTTATTTTTTTCCTTTCCTGGTGGACTAAGTGAATGCATGTCTGTAGGGAAGCAAGTGAGCCTTGGTTCTGAGTGCATACTTGTAACTAGTCACTGCTGGTTTGTCCCAAACTAGGATCTGGCTTTCAGACTCCAGCCAGGGGTCTGCTGTGCTGGTGTGTGGTGTGTTCTGTGGGGTTGGGCCAGTGGGTCACCTTGCAACTGCTGATCCCTGCTCACTAATCACATCACAGCTGCTGAGAGACTCCCTGGCCATCATTCTGGGAGCCATAAACAGGCTCATTGGACCCAGTTTCATATTCTTTGGCTGCTTTGTGTCTGTTTGGGGAAGAATCCACCCTAACTTTAGTGGGATATTGTGGGCTCTGGGAATTTCCCCAAAATGTACATTGAACCAGAACAAACCAGAAGGACCTACCTGAGCCCACAGCACTCTAGAGGGTCCATTTAGAATCAAAAGTTGTTTGAGATTATTTGGGAAACCTTTTGGGAAGTTATTTCCCAAGCACTTCCAAAAGAGTGGCAGCTCTTTACAGATCGTCACCCCACCCGAATTTGACTTTTGGCTCCTTGGCCCAGGCCAACCTTGAATCCATAGGATCGAAGGACTGCTGTCGGGTAAAGGTTAGAAGGTGCTCCTGGTTGGGATGAGGAATTAAAGCAGGAAAATGTTAAACTTTTCTCCTTCTACAGACAGGAAATCCTATGTTCACCCACAAAACTGACCTCCCAGCCCAAAGGCCTGATCGGGGTAAGCTGAGGTGATGTTGCCCAGCTTCCAGGAATTACCTCATCCTTTTACAAATATCTTAACTTTTGAGTTCAGACATCTCACCTGGTTTTTCAAAGCACCTCTTCCTTTGAGTTTCCTGACACTCCCTCACTCCTGTAGAGAGTCACTGTGTAGCCCGTGGGTCTCTGGGTAGTTGTGTTCATGTCTGTGGTGTTTGATGAAAGGAGATAACTGATGACATGAATGTGAACTGAGTTTGGGTGATCCCACTGAAACACCAGAAGAAGGCAGCTACTCACAACCAGAGTACAAGACCAGTCGGAATTAACCAGAGTAGAAATGACCTCTCATTGAAGACTTTGTGTATTTCCTGGGTTCTGCACAGTCTAGCTTGGCTCTTGGACCACTTTTATTTATATTTCTGAGTTGGGAACTCTGGGCACTCCCTACGTCTTTTGGCATCAGCTGCTGTCTTACAAATCAACATTGAGGTAGGGATTCTCAGCCACCTTATTTTTGCAGTGAGTCTTAAGGTTTTGGTACAAGGTGGGTGGTAATGGGCAAAAAGGCATATGTGGGCAGGGGTCCCTAGTGGTGGCCAACAGTCTCTGGGAGGAGTCAGTTTTGGTTTATCTGAGCCTTAGGGGACAGGAGAGCATGGTAATGAGAACCACATGGTACCACATATTTCTTCATCTTGGATCCAAGATGGTAGGGGTGGGAGGATGAGAGAGGGATGTGGGGCCTCCCACTGTGGCAGCCGTGGGTAATTTTCGGCCGCCTCTCTCTGGCTGGGGATGCTGCTGCCCACACCACCCCCAACCCCCAGCTACGTCCTGCGCAGCCTTGACCTGCGCAGCACCAACCAGGGCCCCCAAGCCAAAAATTCAGCTGGGAGACTTTTCACCTTCTTCCTTCTCACTGTCGTCTTTCCTGTTTATTTTCCAAATTGCTGCTCTGCAGCCGAGCAGTGCCTGTTGGCCAAAGCTCACCAGTGCTGTGGGATCAGACTCAGGCAGTGGGCTCAAGTGGCCAGCAGGGCACTGGGGGAGGAAGCGGGGAACTGGAAGAGCCTCCCTGTGCGTCTCCCATGGGCAGCACTAACCTCGGAGGCGGCCCTGAGCAGTCCTATCACATCCGGTGCTTGTCTCCGCAGCCGGACCGGAGGATAAACTATCAGGGCTGTGGGGCAGTGCATCATTCCTCTTATTATTTTCTTCTCTGCAGATGGGGTCGTGGAAAGTTCAGTTCCTTTTAACCCTCGAAGTTCTGTTTATTCTACAGCTGGTAGCCTGAATGCCGCGTTTCCCATTACATCACAAAGGAGCTCAGGCAGATCTCTGCACAGAAACGTGTTGCAACTGTTTATTTTTTTCCATATTTAAACATTTCTGACAGCCAAACCCGGCTGAGCCAAAAGATGGAGCTTTGTGAATGAGTCTGGTTGTCGGTGTCTGCGCTGAGAGAGGCTTTCGAAAACTCGTCCCTCCGGTGATTCTTCCCAAACATGTTCTTTTTCCTGGGTAAAGCCTGTGAAGCGAGTTACTTCTGCAGTACACGTGTGTTGATTATGTGCCGTTGTGTGATTAATGGGGCTGTGTTCTGCCTGGTTCCCAGGACACTCTTGAAAACAAGATGTTTCATTTCATTGCCTTTTCCTAGTGCAATGATTACAGTAAATAAACCAGTGCAGCCTCCTTCCACCTGGAGCCAGTCAGGGAGTTCCCATCCCTCTGCTCCACTTTCTTCCCCACTGTCACCTTCAGTGGCATGTGCCTCGAATGCTTTCTTTTCTGCCATCTCCCGAAGATTCTTAGTCTCCAAGAGAAACAAATTGCTTAGATCTGAGACCCCTCCCTAGTAGGACTCATAGGCAGTAACTCCACTGGGGAGATTCCAGGATGATTCTTCTTGGTTGTTTTTAGTGAGAGGGTCTCACTGTGTTGCCCAGTCTGGTCTTGAACTCCTGGCCTCAAGTGATCCTCCCTTCTCATGTTCCCAAAGTACTGGGATTACAGGCGTGGCCCACCACACCCAGCCCAGGATGATTCGTACAACTCTCTTTACATATTGCCTCTTGCCACTCTAGCTTGTGAATCTAATTGTGAAGCTTGTCTTTGTAATTCTCCTATGGATCTCTCTTCTTTTAGAGTAAAACTTAGCATCCATAGGACACTATCTGTTCCAGACTCCTAGTTAGGTGCTTCCGTGGAGAAGAAAGCCACGTCTGTAGCCTTGGCTGGCCCTATGTCTTTACCACAATTTGTAGTATCCCTGGGTAGGCAAAAAAAAAAAAAAAAAAAAAAGCCTTATGGATCCTCAACACCCACCAAAGCAGGACTCTGGCCCACAGTCGATTTTTGACAAGTGATGGTAACAGAGAAATGAACCTCTTTTTTTATAATTCTACCCTGAAATTTTAATTAGAGAGAGCCAGACTTCACAGTTTCAAAGTTTCTTCTCAGGTTCAACCAGGACCTGGTGATACACAGTTGAGCCAGCCAGCCGTCCCAGTTTGCCCAGGACTGGGGGGTTTCTGGGGATGTTCAGTGCTAAAACCAGGACAGTCCCACACAAACCAGAATGGTTGGTCACCCTGTATCTAACCTTCCACACATGAGAGAAAGGAGAGGCATGGAATGGCTGAGACAGCGCCAATGAAGTGTGTAAGAGGCTTTACCTTCCTGTGAGGATCTTGATGGGCCAGGAATGAGGTTTTTGTTTGATTGATTGATTGATTGATTGATTGATTGATTGATTGCCTGCCTATGTGTAGGGAAGAGATTTCTAAAGCATTATAGGAGGAAAACCTGCATGACTCTTGCTGTATTGTGACTAGACCCGCCATGGCTGTGGCTGGGGGAGGAGAGGCTGGTGCTCAGTATGGCATATACTTGGCTGGACAGCAGTGGGGAATTCTGGGAGCAGCCTCAGGCACTGGGTGTCTAGAGTGTTTGAGTAAGCGTCTCAGGCACACTGTCTGGAAAGATGACAGGACCCTGCATTAGGCAACTGATTCTCTAAATTCTTTTTCCTCTCTGGTGAGGATTACAAACTCCCCCTAATCAATTTCAACTTTGTGTAGATCCACATACACATACCTTAGATTGCTGCCTTGGGCACAGTTTTGTTTCCTCCCATTTAGGGTATGCTTTCCTGGCAGATGCCAGCCTAGACAACATTTGCTGCAAGTACTTCCCTGCTCACAAGTACTAAGAATTCTTTTTTTTACTGGCTCCTCTTTAGAGCTGCTCTTTTCTTACCTTATTTCTCACAGTGTTGCTGTGGATGTGTGGTCGACGCTGGCTGATTTCTGTAACATACTGACTGCAGTGAATCAGTCTGAGGTGCCACTGTACAAGGACCCGGATGATGACCTCACCCTTCTTATCCTGGAAGAGGATCGGCTTCTCTCGGGCTTTGTCCCCTTGCTGGCTGCCCCTCAGGACCCCTGCTACGTGGAGAAAACCTCGGATAAGGTCAGCCCCAGGCCAAACATCCCTCCCCATTTGCCCCTCCTCTTAATTCTCCAGACTTTTTTATTCTTGGGAAGTTTTCTGTGCAAATGGAACATGATTAAGTCATTGAGAAGGGTGTTAAGGGAAAATATCGACCTTTTAGCCGCTGACATCCAGCTCTGTGTCCTGAAAAAAAAAAAGCGCTCTCGACTTCCTTTGGTGTGTGTGTGTGCTCGCTGGCATGTTGTATATACGATCATTTCCTCACTTGTTTAAATAGTGCAGCTTGTGTTGGCAGTGCTCTCACTCGGCTCCAAATGGTTTGCATCATGCTCAAAGCACCCTCCTTTCTCCCCCCCTCCCCCCCCCCCCCCCCCCCGCCCCACCACAAAACTCTGCACTAGGAAAACAGCCAGGGCTTTTTCCCTTCTCTAAGGAGGAGAGTGATAAATAGGTGACTAGAGAGAAGCAGACACCATGTGTTAACTTAGAAAAAAAAACTTGTAGGAATATGAAGCATTCCCCGCTGCCTGGTTTCTATTTTCCTTCCTCTGAGGACTGTGTTTTAACCTGAACGTTTTTCTTGCCTGTCTGTTTATAGAAAACAAAGCCGATTCCCTGTTGCTGATGGGGACTGTGGAGCTCTTAGTCTCTGCTTAACAGTTGGGTTTTCAGCCAGGTAAAGAGTAGGGTAGTCCAGTCGGCCTCACCTTTCCCACGTGTAATAACAGTTACTAGGCTAGGGACATAGTAGCCACCGAGCTCCGGAGCGAAGTGCTGTGTGGAGGCAGGAAGACCCTGTGACTGACTTCTCTGTAGAGCAGTGAGCATCACGTCCCTTGAGGGACAGGCCTTCAGGGAGGTTCCACAAATGTCTTCTCAGGAGGAAGTCTTTTGACCTAGGTGAAGTATATACGTACTAGGGACATAGGGAGATGTTAAAAAAAAAAAAAAAAAGTAAAAGTTCCAAACATGAACCACAAATATGAGAGGCTTTATATAGAATATAAAGTCTTGGCCTGTTGCAGTGGCTCACACCTTTAATCCCAGCACTTTGAGAGGCGGAGACGGGAGGATCGCTTGAGCCCAGGAGTTTGAGACCATCCCAGGCAACATGAGAAGCCTGTCTCTAAAAACAAACAAACAAACAGTTTTTAGTATAAAAGAGTATTTGTTCACCGTAGGAAATTTGGAAAACACACGCAAATAAAAAGAAGAAAAATTATCCGTAATCCTTCTTTCTACCCAGAAGTAAGAGCGCTGTTATTTTGCTGATCATATATAATCGTATTTAATTTCTAGTATACACACACACACACTCTTTTCAGTAAAACTGGAGGTTATATTAATATTAATATATACTATTTGTTTTTTTTTTTTTTTTTTTTAGATAGGGTCTCACTCTGTTGCCCAGGCTGGAGTGTGGTGGCACAATCTCAGCTTGCTGCAACCTCTGCCTCCCAGGCTCAAGCAGTCCTCCTACCTCAGCCTCCCGCATAGCTAGGACTGCAGGCACCCACCTCCATACCTAGCTAATATTTGTATTTTTGAATAGAGATGGGGTTTCGCCATGTTGCCAGGCTGGTCTCTAACTCCTGAGCTCAAGCGATTTACCTGCCTCAGCCTCCCAGAGTGCTAGGATTATAGGTGTGAGCTAACATGCCCAGCTGTATATACTATTTGTAATCTGCTTTTTTCCTCATGTTTTTAATATATTCTTATATGGAATCATTTTTTATAGTTACCCAGAATTCTTTTATATTCGAAGATTTCTTTAACCCATCTTTGCTTTATTGAATCAAGAGAATGTTCCCAATTTTTTTACAGTTATAAACAGTGAATCAGTTTCTTGTAGCAGAATTTGAGCATATATTCCCTTTGGTTAAATTGCTGTAAGTAGATTAAGGTTCTGGACGTTGATATATCAAAAACTCATACTCTTTGGATGCATTTAATGGCTACTATATCTTGGGAATCAGAGAACCCTTCTTTCCCAAGAGAAATACTTATTTTATGCCTTTGCAACAAAAACTTAGAGTGAAATTCTGCTCTTCTAGTCTCAGAATGGGCAGATAATGGGGATTTGTAGTACGTGAGGCTGAGGACAGCTAACAAGTTGTTTTGTACGTGTAGGAGGTGTTCGGTTAGAAGAGAGGCTGGATGACGTGGCTTGGGCCGGAGAATCCTCATACTCTTCTTTCGTGATCACAGAGTGGTCTTGATTCCAGAGGATGCTTTTGGGAGTTGGCTATTGAAGCTGTCTTTTAGTGTGGGGCAGGTGCTGAGTAGAAGAGTACTAACCAGCTTCAGACTCTTCCCACGCCCCGTCTTCATCAGCTCTCCTAGCTCTAGTGTCAGATACCACGTATGTGTTCTGGCTCGAGGAGAGCACAGAGCCAGCACACCAGCCCTTAGCCTATGTAGTGATCTACAGGATACCTAGGCGGCAGTTGCGGCTCAGTGAGACTAAGGTAGGTCTCCACTTCAGGGACTGTGAAACAGGTATGTCAAACCTGACATGTCCAAATCCAAACTCCTGAATCCTGCCCCACCCGCTACCCACCATCCTGGTCTTCCTTTACCCTTTCCCATCTTGGTAAATGGCAGCTTTGATTTTGGGGCTGCTCATGTCAAAATGCTTGGGGTTATTCTTGGCACTTCTTTCTCACACTTCCATATCTAATCCACTGGCAGTTAATGTCTTCTTTACCTTCAAAACACGTACAGGTACAGTTCTCTCTTCCCACTGCACCCCGGTTCGGTTCACTGAAATGCTTCTGACTGGTTGCTCTGGTTCCTTTCCCCTTCTATTCTTCAGTCCGTTTTCAAAATATCAGTAAGATCATGTCATTTCTTAGTTCAAAACCTTCTGATGATTGCTCTTATCACTTAGAGTAGAGGCCAAAGTTTTAACAGTGGCCTACAGTGCCCTCCATTAGATCTAACCCCACCTCCATCCCACTCCCAAGCTCTCTGACCTCAGGTCCTCCTGCTGTCCTTCAACCCAGTGTGCTGTAGTCACACTGACATCCTTGTTTTTCCTCAAACAAACCAAGCACTCGTGCCTAAGGGTCTTCGCAGCTGCTCTTTTCTTAACCGGGAACACGCTGTACTCGGCTGTGTGCCTCTCGCACTCCCTTCTGTCACCTTGGTAAAGAGAGCTTCCCTGGCCACATAATATAATCATATAAAGTGGTACTCTGCTTTATTGTTCCCCATCCACGGCAGGGGAAAATCACGTCTCCTGAGTATCTATCATGTATCAGTCCCTGAGCTAGGTACTTCTGTACAGTATTTCATTAAGTTCTCTAAATAAGCCTGCCGTGGAAGTATTATTACCCCCCCCCCCTTTTTTTTTTTAAGAGATGGGTCTCACTTTGTCACCCAGGCTGGAGTCAGTGGCATTATCATAACTCACTGCCACCTCAGATTCCTGCGCACAAGCAGTCCTCCCACCCTGGTGGGACCTCTGTCTCCCAGGTTCAAGCAATTCTGTTGCCTCGGGCTCCCAGGTAGCTGGGATTACAGGCGCGCCACCATGACGAGCTAAATTTTTTTTATTTTGAGTAGCTGGGACTACAGGCATGTGCCACCATGCCTGGCTGATTTAAAAAAAAAAAAAAAAAAAAAAAAAGTTTTGACCAGGCGTGGTGCTCACGCCTGTAATCCCAGCACTTTGGGAGGCCAAGGCAGGTGGAGCACGAGGTCAGGAGTTTGAGACCAGCCTGGCCAACATTGTGAAACCCTGTGTCTACTAAAAATACAAAAATTAGCCAGGTGTGGTGGTGGGCCCTGTAATCCCAGCTACTTGGGAGGCTGAGACAGGAGAATTGCTTGAACCCAGGAGGCGGAGGTTGCAGTGAGCCAAGTTCATCCCACTGCACTCCAGCTTGGGTGGCAGAGCAAGACTCCATCTCAAAAAAAAAAAAAAAAAAAAAAAAAAAAAAAAAAGAGGTTGCAGTGAGCCAAGTTCATCCCACTCTGCACTCCAGCTTGGGTGGCAGAAGCAAGATTCCATCTCAAAAAAAAAAAAAAAAGTTTTTTTTTTTTCTCACACTTCCATAATGGAGACGGACCTCACCATCTTGCCCGCCTCATCTCGAACTCCCAGGCTCCAGTGGTCCTCCCCTCCTGCCTCGCCTCCCTGGCTGGTGGATTGTAGGCGTGAGCCACCCCCTTCAAATTTTGTAAAAGAGGATACTGAAGCTCAAGAGAAAAGAATGATGATAAGCTCATGTGGTTCATCTCCGTGGCCAACCTAGGAGATTAGCGTGGATGTGTCAGGGAATCTTTAGAACTCTTGACCTTTTAGAAATCTGCAAAAGGGGACCTAGTGTGGTGGCTCACGCCTGTAATCCCAACACTTTGGGAGGCTGAGGTGGGCAGATCACTTGAGGCTAGGAGTTTGAGACCAGCCTGGCCAACACAGTGAAACCCTGTCTCTACTAAATTAGCCAGGCATGGTGGTGCGCCCCTGTAATCCCAGCTACTCGGGAGGCTGAGGCATGAGAATTGCTTGAGCCCGGGAGGCGGAGTTGCAGTGAGCTGAGATTGTGCCACTGTACTCCAGCCTGGGTGACAGAGCAAGACTCTGTCTCAAAAAATATATAAATAAAAATCTTAAAAAAAAAAAGAAAAATCTGCAAAAGGGCCAGGCATGGTGGCTCACACCAGTAATCCCAATATTCTGGAAGGCCAAAGTGGGAGGAGCACTTGAGGCCAGGATCTCTAAACCAACCTGGGTGACGTAGTGAGGCCCTGTTTTAAACAAGTTTAAACAAACAAGTTTAAAAATAGCCAGGTGTGGTGGCAAGCACCTGTAGGCCCAGCTATTCAGGAGCCTGAGGCGGGAGAATTTTTTAAGTGCAGGGGTTCAAGGCTCATTATGATTGTGCCACTGCACTACAGCCTGGGTCTCAGAACGAGACCCCGTCTGAAAAAAATAAAAAAGAAATTTGAAAAATATAAACATTTCCTTCAGCTTCTAGGGTTCATTACTAGGAAACATAAAACATATCTCA